CAAGATGGTCTGCAGTGCGTTATCATCTGGGCTTTGGGGTGATGGGTTGCTGATGTTTGCTCCTGGAGAGTTAGCTGCAGAGACCCAGGGGTGAAGGTGGCCCTGAGGATGTCTCCGCCTGCCCTTCTCCACTCAGGGTCCACTCTCCCTGCTGTGTTGGAGGAAAGACCACCGACATGACAAAGGCATAACTGGGTCTCAGGAGAGAGCAACTTCCAGGCCCCAATCCCACCCCACATTCCAGAACTGACCAGTAGAGTCGGCACTCGGAATTTAATGAGTAATCGCTGAGCAAAGGTTTAATTATATGATTGGGCTTTTGTCTGTTATTTGATTGTTTCTCTTACTGGAGGAGCAGGTGTGTGGTGTTATTAGATGACGGGAGTTGGGGCTGAGTGGTGACAGCACTTGGTGCTGAGCTGGACAGAGAATTAGGCCTGACTCTGCCCCTGGGAACTTGGCCTCAAATGCTTACAGGCCTGTTAGTCTGTGGGGTAGCCTCTCAAATGTTCACGTGCACCTGAATATCCAGGGTCTTTCATAAAACACAGCTTCTCTGTTGGGTAATCCATCAATTTATTAAGTCTCATAATGACCTTAAATTAATAGCTCATTTTGTAGATGAACATGGCTCAGAGAGGTGGCCTACAGTCTGGCACGGCCTGAGATTACACATTTCTGAGATCCCAGGTGATATAGATGCTGTTGAWTCAGGACTACACTGGGAAGCAGGCCTCTTGCAAGCAAACTAGTTATTCCTTCCTTAGTTTTTAATAGGAAATGTATTCATAAGATTTGAAATTAAAAAAAAAAATTCCCCCCAACCTTCCCCAAATAACCACTTTCAGTAGTTTTTTTGTTTGTTTGTTTTAGTGGTATTAGGGATTGAGCTCAGGGATGCTCTGCCCTGAGCTAAATCCCCAGCCCTTTCTGTTTTATTTTATTTTTCTAGTACCAGGGATTGAACCCAGCTAGGAACACTTAACCACTGAGCCACATCTCTAGCCCTTTTTATTTTTTATTTTGAGACAGAGTCTTGCTAAATTGCTTAAGGCCTCACTAAATTGCTGAGGCTGGCTTTGAACTATACAATCCTTCTGCCTCAGCCTCTTGAGCCTCTGGGATTATAGGTGTGCACCACTGTGCCCCACCCTCAGCCCTTAAAAGCAGGGTCTCACTATGTTGCTGAGGTTGGCCTCAAATTTGCCAACCTCCTGTCTCAGCCTCCTCAGTCCATAGAATTATAGGTGTGTACCACGGTACCCAGCCACTTTTATTAGTTTGTCTTTCCAAAGTTTCTCTGTGCCAAAACAAGTAAATAAGACCAAATAAGACCGCACATACCCTGCCCCACCTCCTCCCCTTACACAAATGGCAGGACACTACTATACACATGGTTTGGTTAACAGTTTATCAGTTCATCATGGAGATAACTGACTCAGTTGGCTGACTCATCTATTTTTAGACTTACATTATTATTCCATCCTGTGAATGTGCCACAGCTTATTTAACCAGCCACCTCTTGGTGGACCTTTGGTTCTTTATGATGTTTCCAGCTGTCTTTCTTAGTCCCCCCATACCCTGGGCAACCTTGCTGTGACCTCCTTCCCACCCCCAATTCCCAAGCCCCCGCAGACAACTCCTGCAAGCCCTCCCCTGATCCTGCAGCCCACCCTGCTTGCTCTTATCTCCCGAGGCTCTGTTCTACAGTCAGTCTCCTCCTCCTTTTTCCCCTCCTCATTTACCTTCCCACTCTCCATCTTTCTATGACTCTCTGMTTGTCTTACCAAACAGACTGCAGCAACTGGAACCCAGGAATCAGGTCTCCGATTCCTGTGGCTTCTTTCCAACCCAGAGCTGTTCACACAGTTGTTTTCAAGAATATTAATTATACTAGGATTAGAGGTTTACATCTCTAATCCCAGCAGTTTGGGAGGCTGAGGCAGGGGAATCGCGGAGTCAAAGCTAGCCTCAGCCACTTAGCGAGGCTCTAAGCAACTTAGCAAGACCCCGTCTCTAAATAAAATACAAAAAAAAAAAAAAAGTGCAGGGGATGTGGTTCAGTGGTTAAGTGCCTCTGGAATATTAGTTATCCAGTGGAAGTTGCATATGAATGGAGCCACTTGCCCAGGACTCTACTGGGCCTGGTGTGGGAGCTACCTGGGGTGGGAGGGACCTCATGCCTCAGGGTTTCCAAAAAAAAAAAAAAAAGAAAGAAAGAGAGAGAGAGAGAGAGAGAGAAAGAGTCCCTTTCTGGTGCTTGAGTGTCTAGGGCACTTGGGTGGGTTGTGATAACCAGGGCATCTAGGGTTCTTTGTGCCCTACTGATGTGGGCAATGGGAGGAACCATGATGTGGAGACAGAAGGTGGATGGATATATGTACAGGCGCTAGGATGGGCTCTTTCCTTCCTCATTAATATCCTTGTCATCCTTCTTTTGCCAGCTSCAGTCTCAATTATTCTAAGAAGCCTTCCTGGGCTACTCCAGCCCGTGCTGACCTCCCCACCTCGGAGTTCCTGCTGCATGCATTAGTGACAGCAATCACAGTCCTCTACTTGGTCATCCACACTCTGCCACCTGGAATCTCATAAACCTTGTCTGCCCAGTGTGACTCCAAGATCTTCTGTGATAGAAACGAGACTGATTATTTCCTTATATCCCCAGGTCCCCCCACCCCCCACCCCAGTGTAGCACTAGGCCACTGGGAACTCTTCCACAGAGATTTCCCGAATGGACTGGGATGGTTTCCAGGACTGCTGTGGTAGTGGGGGGGTGGGACCGAGTTGACCACAGGTGTGTGTCTGACCAAAACACACATGTATGTCAGTTTTTTGTTATGTGACAAAATACCTGAAAAAAAAAAAAAAACACTTTAAAGGAGGAAAAAAAATATTTTGGCTCGTGGTTTCAGAGGTTTCAGTTGCCTGGTTGGCTGGCTCCATTGCTGTGGGCCTGTGGTGGGACAGAGCATTGAGGTGGAAGAGCATGGTAGAGGAAAGCTACTTACCTCAGGGCCATCAGGAAGCAGAGGAAGAGGGCCCAGGGATGACATATAGTTCCCAAGGGCAAGCTCCCAAGGACCCACTCCCTTCAACTAGATCTCACTTCCTACAGTTTCTAACCCCTTCCAATAACCCATTCAAACTATGAATCCATCAATGGATTAATCCACTGAGGAAGTGAGAGCCCATATCCAGTCACCTTCCAAAGGTCCTACCTCTGAACACTGCTGCATTGGGGACCAAGCCTTCAGCATATCAACCTTTAGGGACATTCCAGATCCAAGCTACAATAACAGGTGTTTTCTTTCTTTCTTTTTTTTAATATTTATTTTCTAGTTGTAGTTGGACAMAATACCTTTATTTTATTTATTTATTTTTATGTAGTGCTGAGGATTGAACCCAGGGCCTCACAYGTGCTAGGCGAGCGCTCTACCACTGAGCCACAACCTCAGCCCAGGTGTTTTCGAAATGTTGCTGTCCCCTTGATGTGTTCCTTGGTCCCTTCCCACCTTGTACCTGGAAGACAATAACAACCACAAGCCCTGAAGGCCAGGCTCATTTGGTCTCTTGATGCTGAAGAAAGTGAAGGGGACTTTTCAGAAATGTCACTGTCATGAAAAACAACTGAGGTGTTAAAGCAACGAGACAAGCAAAGTTAATATGTGAATCTTGTCTGGACTGTGGATTGGGAAAAAAAATAAACGAAAATGACATTTGGGGCACAATGGGGAAATTATTACTGTGGAGTATTAGATGACAATAGGGTATCAACATCAACGTTAGGTTTCCTGAGGGTGACAGAAGTTCGATCATATAAGATAATGTTCTTATTCTTAGGCAACGTATGCTGAAGTATTAGGGGAGGAATTTTGCAAAATGAAAAGGAAAAGACAAAATGCTGTTGGTTCACTACTTGGGGGAAGTGAGGGAATGTGGCCGTGGGCTGCATGCCGTGAGACTTATGGCTCCCTCCAGGCCTCCTGCCCCTACTGCCCAGAAAACAGCATGCCAACCCCTTGGCCTGACTCCCTCTCTCAGCATCTTTCACACAGTCTCCCAGCTCCTAATTTGATGGGAACTTCTCCAGTGGACAGCCACCTTGACTTGGCCAGGATGGCATACCAAGTCCTTTAAAGGACCACTGCTTGTCTTCCTGGAGGGTGAACTGAATTCTAAACGGATTCTACCCATCTTTGGTATTTCCCTAACTCCATGGGGAAAAAACATTTGATGTCCACAAAATGCCAAGAGTTAGTTCTCCTACCCTGTTTTTGGAGCCCTGTTGATAAGGGTATTTGCCATCTTTGTCACTAGATTGGAATACCAGGTTGCTGTTTTACAGTTTTTCTGTGCTTTCTTTTTTCTTCTGGGCACGTCCTTGCATCATAAAAGCCCACATTTTTAAGGACTTGTAGGATGCTTTGACTTGCTGACTTGCTAGCTTTAGCCAGGCGCGTGCCTTCTGTTGGATGCAAGAGTTATTGCCCCAAAAGAGCATTCTGACCTGGTCACTAAGCGCCTTCAGAAGTAGGGAATTCGCTGGCAGCCTTCGCAAGCCTTGGCTTCCCCAGAGAGAGGGAAGAGGCGTGGAGGAGGCGGCCCAKGAGGGGACCTGGGGAGGGGGCGGCTCTTCTCCCAGGCAGGGCGTGGGCTGGGCGAGGTCCCCAGCCCACCCGGGCCGTGCCAACAATGGCCTGTTGTAGAAGGAGGCCGAGAAGGAATGTGGCCCGGGGAGTTGGGCGGCGGGGCGGCTGCTGCGGTGTCGGCCGCGGGGCGGGGCCGGCTCTGAGCCGCAGCCTCTTACCTGTGCAGGTAGCTCGCATTTCCAGGAGAGCGGCGGCGCCCGCAGCACCTGTCGCCCGGTGCGCGGGCCGGGAGGACGGCGGGGGACATGGCCTAGTAGAGTCCCCTGGGGAGACCTTGCGGAGTTCAGTCCSGGACAGGGCAGGGCGAGGGAGGGCAGGTCCTTCCCCGGTGCTCGCGTGGCCTGCGGCAGCATGAAAAAGAACCAGACGGTGCAGGGCACCTTCAGCAAGCTCTTCGGGAAGAAGCACGCCAACCCCGCCGCCACCTCACTCTACGCCACCAACCCCCCGTGGATTTTCACCCAAGAAGCCCCGGAGGAGGGGACCAGGGATTTTGGTAAGTGATTCCTGGGGACAGGGAGGGACGCAGGCGAGTGGCCCGCAGCGCTGCCTCCCTCCGGTTCCTGCTGGGAAGGCGGGAGCCGGCCGGGCGCAGGGGAAGGGACACGTTGGAACCTGCGGCTGGCCGAGGGGGAGCTGCTGGGAAGAGGAGGCGCGCACCGGGAATCAGGGAAAGAGCCCCGCGGGAGAGAGGAGCAGGGAAGGAAGGGACCCGCCGCAGAGAGGGGACAACTTTGCAGCGCCACTTTGGCCCCAGGCCCTCCTTCGAGGTGTTTTTTTGTTTGTTTTGTGATTTTCCTCTCCTTGGCGGAGCTCGTGTTTGCAGTTACTGTTGCCAAAAAGATTTCCTGAGGTTTGTGGGGTCTCCCTCATCTCCCACCCCCAAATCGGCATTCCCTCTGAGTCACAATGTTCCTCCTATCTAGGGCTCCTCCTTTCCACTTCCTCCATCCTCCCTCCCCAGCTCCTGTACTGCCTCTCCTGGCCCAGAGTGTCCACCAGGCAGAGAGAGGGGCTGCCCTCTGGGTGACCACATGTTTGGCTTTGTGTAGGTGAAGCCTGGGAAAAATCAACATTGGCCACTGCCCACAGGTTACCAGCCCATTTGTGACACCAAGTTATTTATTGGCTCTTGCCAGGTCAACCTGAGACTTAGGTTGTCTGTGGGCTCAGACTGAGGAGCCAGAGATGGGGCAGTGGAGGCCTGACCCCAGTTGTGGCTGGTCCCTGAATCAGGGTGGTGTGGCTTTGTAGGCCATATCAGCGCAGCCTCCCGTCTGGCTGTGGGTCACCTTGTTATGAAGTTTGTACCCTCTACAACTGGAGGGAAGTCAGAGGATAGGGACAAGAATTTGTTTCTTATGTATGATTTGTGGATCTGGGTCCAGGGAAGGGGACAAAACAGGGTCACCCATCATCTCCTTAGCTTCACCATAACCACGCTATCTTCACTGACCCTTATGACCACTGTGTGGGGCCCTGAGAGGATCTCACCAGCCTGGGCCCCTGCTATGGATTCAGTTCAACCCCCAGGGTCAAGATATAAGGCAGGGTGGACAGGAGCTGGGGATCTCTGGCTGGAGGATCTCAGATCAGTGGGTGAACAGAGCTAACTATGTGGCTCTGTAAGGAATTCTTAAGTGCATGCAGCACAGAAAAAAAAAAGAGGTAGCTTCTGACTGAATCGAGCATTTGAGTGAGAAGGAAGAACTTCCTGGCATGAGGAAGGCCAGGGTGAGTTGGAGCCATGGCTTACAAACTTACAGAGACTGTGTGCTGGCCTGTGTCACTCTGTGAAGCCTAAACAGCTCTCCTGGCCTGAATGAAGACATTCCATAGCAAACATTTATCGATCCATTCTTAGGTACAAGGTCCCATCCTGATACCATTCTGTTGCATGGTTGGCATGGTGAGGCACACCATGCTATTCCAGTAACTTGGGAGGCTGAGGCAAGAGGATTACATATTTGAGGCCAGTCTCAGCAACTTAGTGAGAACCTGCCTCAATGAAAATGAAGAAGGGCTGGGGGCATAGCCCCTGGGTTAAATCTCCAGTTCCACAACAAACAAACAAACAAAAACAGTAAAATCGTTGTGTCATTGATTGGTTGACTTTTCCTCTAGAGTCAGGTACTATTATTAGCATTCCTGTTTGACAGATTGAAGACACAGGAAGGTTACGTAACATACCCAAGATCACATATCTTTAAATGGTGGAGCCAGGATCTTCCTAAATTCAGTTCAATGATTTTGTCCCCCCCTGGTATCAGGGATTGAACCCAGGGGCGCTCAACCACTGAGCCACATCTCTAGCCCTTTTTATATTTTGAGGTAGGGTCTCACTAAGTTAATGAGACTGGCTTTGGGCTCCTTTGATCCTCCTGCCTCAGCCTTCCACGCTGCTGGGGTTACAGGCATGCACCACCAAGCCTGACTCAATTCAATGATTTTTAGTAGAGTCCTGTAACTACCACCACAATGCAGTTTGAGAACGCTGCCCTTACCCCAGAGGCTTCCTTGTAAGGCAGAGCCAACCTCGGAATCTAGGCAGAGGCCATACTCTTAGCTAGCTTGCTGACCTCCCTCTATGGAAGAAGGGTGAACTTGACCTGAGGGGCATCTGCCTCAAGAATACCCCGCCACACACTTATCCCCCACTGGGAGACCTCAGAGGGGCCTCTGGGGTACTTCCTCTCCATTTTTCCCTGGGCTGAGTTGTCCACGGGTGGGAGACTCCAGTGAGAGAAGAGGGACGTGGTGCACCTCCCGCCAGCTTCACCCGTCTGGGCAGGGCTGGAGCCTAGGGACTGCTCCTCCCTGTCCCCAGGGCAAGGCTGAGTCTCCAGCTGACTCAGCCAGGCGAGCCTGCACATGGTGGAGTGGGAAACCGGGAAGGCTCAGCAGGCCGGCTCCCCGTGTTGTGGCTGTTCCCTGGGATGCCAGCTGGAACAGCAGAAGCTTTCCTCCTTGTACTTGGAGTTAGGGAGGGGAGGGACTGGAGTTAGGGATTCTGGGATGGGATGGAAATGCCAATCCTGCCTTAGGCTTCTGCCTTTGTCAATAATGTGGGGCTAGCCCCACTCTGAACCTCAGTTTTTTTCTTCTCTTCAATGGGGATGGTGTCCAGATCACCTAGAGGAGGGCTGCCCGAGGCCGTGTATGTGACAGCTTCCAAGAGCACTAAAAAGAAAATTGCCACAGTGTCCAAGTCGAGTCCCTGYCAGAGATTTTATGGCCCACAAAGCYTGAATAGTTGCTGCTGCCCTTTACAGATTTGCCAGTCCTGCTTAAAAGGCGATTCCTATTATCAGGTCATTCCCAGCTTTGAGCCCTGCCTGCCCCTGTCTGCTTCAGCCCCTCTTCCTGACATGGCTGTTTGCCAGAAAAAGTCGGCCCGAGGAGGCCATCTTCGGGTTTCAGAAGGGCGGYGGTTTGAGTTCCATAGGGATCCTGAATCCTCCCAGGCCTGGAATGAGATGTCCCTGGTGTCCAGCTCTTGGAAAAGAGGTGGAGAACGAAGGGGGGACATCACCATGGACGTGTATAGGGGAATTAAGGAGTAACTGCTTGGTGTGTGGCTACAGCTGTGTAACAATCTGTTTGCACAAGGGTAGGCTGGGTGCCGCAGGTGAAATGCAAACAGTCATGTGAAGGTGGTGACGGCTACATTTTCCTTTAAAGAACTTCCCTAACATGTGTTCCAGTAATTAGAAGGACTTCTTGCTGAAAGCAATTGCAATTGTAATTAAGCCTTCTGCCCTCCCCYAGCCCAAACAGGGGCCTTGAAAGGACACACAGTTGTCCTTTAAGTGCATGAGAAAGCAGAGATGTGGATCTTTGCAAATCCCTGATAGGAGACTGAGCTGCTGCGGAGACAAAGCCACCCCGTGGCTCTGCACTGCTCCCTGGGCTCTTGGATTCATTGAGGATCTTTATCTCTGGTCGCTGCTTGGCACCCCAGCCATGGGACACCCTTGTTGGCTGGGGTACTCTGTTCCRTTGCCCTCTTTTATCCAATGGAAAGCACCTTGCCACAACCACTAGGACTCTTATTTGAAATGCAGATTCCTGGGGTCTCACCTCAGACACACAAGTCAGAATCATGGGCCCAGGCTCTAGATCTTTAACCAGCTCCCAGGTGACTCTCCTGTGTAGAATGATTTGAGACTCCCAGACTTTCCTTCCCACATGGAACGAGGCTGTTCTCCTCCTTTGACTCCCTGCAGTGTATAYAGTAGGTTGAAAATAAATGTGTATGGGATATGGCCAGCTCCTTATCAGGAAAACTCAGTGTTCCCTAGAGTGGCCACTGGTTCTGGCATTCCTGTTCCTGAGGTCYCCTGATTTTGTAGCTCAGGCCAGGCTAAAGGCTGGGAAACCATGAACCCCCAGAGCTRAGTCCCTGTTTCCTGCTAGGGCTGAGCTAGCACCAGCTTCACAAGGCTGACCTGTGTCTTACAGGGGTGTAAAGGAGACATTTGTTTACTCTTGTCCCCTGGAGGTGTGCTGTGGTTTGCCAGTGGTTCAGTGTACACACCACACACACACACACACACACACACACACACACACACACGCCTTCACCAATGCCCCATTACATAAGCACCCCTCACTGCCATAGCTCACGTCCAAAAAGCAGGCCCTCCCTTGACCCTGCAGACCAGCTACACGGTGCCCTTTCCCTCCTGGCCAATCATTCTTACTGGTGACCATTCCCTGAACCAGGCTCTGTGCTAAGAGCCACCTACCCTCTCAACTGAGGAACACATGCCGAAGGCTCAGGTTGGTTCAGTGGCTCAAAGTCCTTGCTCTGCGGGCAGCTCAGACATCAAAGAGAAAACAACGTCCTGGTATTTGCTAAGATCAGATTCTGATTTTGTAGGACAAGGTGGGGAGAGTTTCTAGCAAGTTCCAGGTAAAGTCATCCTGCTGTTGTACTGAGCAGCAAATCCTAGCCAGGAAGTAGAGGGCCCTGTTTGCTGTGCCATTCCCCCTTCAGCCTCCACACTGGGGGTCCTTTGAGCTGCCTGCCCCAGGGCTCCTCCCCTTCAGTTCCCTCCTCCTCTGTTCTGTGGCTCCTCCCCCCAGGGCCCCTCCCCCCTAGCCTAACCTTTAGTGTCCCCTCTGTCCTTGGACAAAGGCCTCGCTCTGGTGCCCTGGTCAGGCCTGCTGGGGCTTGCTGGGACAAACTAGCCTTTTCAGGTTTCTGTCATGTGGACCTGCTAATTAGCAAGGAAGGGCCTCATTAACTCATTTGAGGGTTACATTCACATGGGGCCACCCGCTCCTGCTTCCCCAAGGCAGTGGCTCCCCTAGTGGTGGAGGACAGGATGCCCCACCTTGTCCCTCACCAGTACTCCACTGTGCCTCTACAGTAAGGTAGAGTAGGGGAGGTCTGTTCTGGGGTGCTGGGTTACCCTGGGTCAAGACAGCAAACTCTCCAAGTTACAGCCCCCCCCCTCTTAAGTCCCTAGAATCCTATTAGACTTGTGGCCA